TGTCGGAGAGCCCACACATCAAGCTGGAAATACCTTGGACCTGGTCTGGACCAACATTAACGGCAGCCATGCGTGGGTAGACCAAGATGAATGTGTCACCATCGACCACCTTCCTATTCGAGGAACAATCCCGATCCAGTCCTCAGTATTGAGACCCAACTTGGGCAAGATTCGAGTGACGAGGGAAAGATTACCTAACTTTGCGCGAGCTGTCTCTAAATTAGTCTGTCTACCACAAGTTTTAGATACAATCGAAAAGGTCGAAGACTATGCCCAGGAACTTTGCTTAAAGCTTAAGACTGCCACAAATGCAACAGGAACTCGATCTAGAGGAAAAGGCGGTAAATCAGCCCCGTGGTGGACCTCGGCGTGCAAGGAAGCACGGGCTGAATATCGAGCGGCCGAATTACCCATCCAACGTGCTGTGTACGCCAAAAAGCTCCGATCAGTTATTAGGGCTGCCAAAACAGAATATCAAGTACAGCAGGCGGAAAAAATGAACACACCGAGCGATGTCTATAAGCTGATAAGAATGGCTGGGCCTGGACAGACAAACATCCCACCACCACTCAATCACAACGGAGCTCTCATCTCTGATCCGCTAGAGCGAGCCACAGTTCTCCGAAACTCTCTCCTGGCAAGACACCAAATATCAGACGACCTACCGCCTTGCATCGCCACGAGTAACAACCGTATACCATGGAAGGACGATATCTCCGAGGAAGAAGTCCAAGTATGTACCATCGGCTGTGGAAACACGGCTCCGGGAGGAGGCGGAGTCTCCGTACAGCTGCTAGTGGCCTGCTGGAAGACAATTGGACCATGTATAGTCAAACTCTTCAGAGCTTGCACACAGCTTGGTACGCACTCGACTTGTTTTAAATTGGCCGAAGTAGTACCTGTACAGAAGCCTAAAAGGGACCCAACAACTTTCAAAGGATGGAGACCAATTGCCCTTCTTTCTTGCCTTGGTAAAGGGCTTGAGAGACTTCTGGCAAAACGGATGGCGCACTTAGCAGTGATTTGTGATGTAGTTGATCTGCAACAATTCGGCGCACTCTCGAGACACTCAGCAACAGACCTAGTCTCCTGTGTAGTACACGATGTCGAGGAGGCGCGTACACAAGGATGGGCGGCCACTTTCGTCACCTTAGACATACAAGGTGCGTTCGATGCAGTTCTTCATAACCGTCTAGTGAGAAGAATGCAAGAACAAGGATGGCCAGACTCAGTTCTAAAGTGGACGACATCGTTCCTTGCACAACGAATGGTACAGGTCCGACACTCGGAAGGAGTCACGACAGAGCGACAACTAGTCTGCGGGGTCCCACAGGACTCGCTGATCTCGCCTCTTCTCTTTCTTCTATTCATGGCAGAGCCAATGTGGAGTGGTACTCCTAATCTAAGGTTTAGCTAAGCTGACGACATCGGCATTCTTGGATTTGGCCGCACCACTGCTGAGTATGCTGGAGCTGCCCAGAAAGAAGTCGATCACTTACTGGAGTGGGCTCAGAAGAATGCTGTCCAATTCGATACAGAAAAGTTAAAGGTAGTACAATTTCCATCACGGCATCGCGAGGCAGCAGTTGGCATCTACGTAAGCGGCACTCTCATAGAACCAGCTGAACAAGCTCGCTTGCTTGGTGTTTACCTCGATCCGCGTCTTAACTTCAAACATCATGTGATGACGTGGTCCGGAAAAGCAATGAAAGTCGCACAACTTGCGCGACGCTTCAATTCTACTTTTCGAGGGTCCGCACCAGGAGCGCTGATACGAGCAGTAAATAGTTGTATTGTTTCAATCGCGACTTTTGGAGCGGAAGTCTGGTGGCCAGGCTTCAAACGCCCAACAAGAGCAGGAATAGCCACGCTAGCTACCGCGAGACGTTGTACTATGATCGATAAAGCCAACATGATGGGTCTCCGATCTGCACTTCCAGCTCTGCGGACTACTCCGAATGTTGTCCTGCACAGGGAAGGAGGAATCCTTCCCGCAAACATTATTCTAGAGGGAAACTGACTACAATTTTCAGCCAGAATAAAAACCCTCGATGACCAGCACCCGCTGAGATCTCGTGCTGCGATGTGCCCAAACGTTGGGACTCGAAAGTACAAGGAAAATCCTCGAAGATTTGAACATGTAGATAGACAAAGGACTCGTGCACAGCGTGCCTATCGACAACTTCCGGATGCAGAAGCTTCGATGCCTCTGCCGCCGCCATCCTACTCTGCTAGATACATGACCAAGTCAGAAGGAAAAGAAGCGAGCAAACTTTGGATAGACAACGTGCCCGCATCGGAAATTTGCGCCTACTCAGACGGCTCTTCGGAAGGAAATGGACGTTCAGCTTGGGGTTCTGTTTTGAAGAGATTCGATAAAACTCTTCTCAAGGAGAATGGTACCCGACACGGAGGAGAGGTCTTGGACGCAGAAATCACAGGGGCACTGAAGGCTCTTGAGGCGGCGTTGAGACTTAAAGAAGCGCAACAGCAGCTGGGGGAGACGACACGGTGAGTGAATGTTTTTCGGGATAGTCAACATGCTATAAAAGCTCTTGAGACGGGCATCTCTTCAACCATCCTCGAAGAGTTACGTCAGTTTCGCATACTCTCAATGGCAGCTACTGTGACGATTAAGTGGATCCCCGTTCCCCTCGAAATACAAGGGAACGAAGAAGCAGACGCCACTGCGCGCCTCGGCTTTCGAATGCTGCCCAGTCAGGACAAACAACCAGTATCTGTTTCGTTAGCATATCTTCGCCGTCTCATGAATAATCGGCTACAGGCTTTGCTTAGCGATTGGTGGGATAAAGCTTGCCCTGTTCGGTATCGAAAGCCAGATGTGCTCATGAAACGGCGCAAGCCCCCTGAAATAGCTCTATCAAGGCATCTACTCCGCGAATTAATTGCAGCCTGTACGGGCCACGACAATTTTGCGGCCTATCATCGCCGATTCAACAATGCAGATGCACCTAGTGAGTGCGCGTGTGGGAAAGAGACTAGCCCAACCCACTTTATCCACTGTCGGCTCCACTTTCATGAAACACGTCGAATACGAGGATTAAAGTCCCACGACGACTTTATACATGAAATTCTAGGACCCAAGTGCCTGGAAGCATTCAAAAATTTTGCACAGAAAACTCGATGTTATGGGCGATCAGCTGCAGGCTGGACCTCTGCTCTCAGCGGGCTCCATATAAATTAGTCATGTAACATGACTCGATCGGAAGGGGAACAAGGCGAGAAGTTTTGCTTCCCAACCACAAGTGCTATTATTTAGTTGGAGCTCAAAGTTTTGGAGCCTGGAGTTATGTTGTGATTTCTATTTTGTATATGGCTGCATGTAATTTAACTAGCTACAATTTGAGTAGCGGTTCACGTGGTGGGAACAAGTTGGGCATGTCATAGATATGATCTTAGCTGTAAACCCCAGTCTTTGATTCTCAGGGGAAAACGGGTATATCCTAGGACTTAAAAATAGAAAACAAACAAACAAAACAAAATCAGTGAAAAAAAAATAGATGACTCAATGTACAAGAAGAGCGACAGGTGGATTGTAGGGTACATTACTGAAAGCTGTTAAGAATAGCCCCCTTCTCTCAAGTAGAATCTGGGTAGCTTGAACACCTACCTCATTTCAGACAGTAGAAAGCTGGTACGACTCCAGTAAGGCCCACACACCATTCTCTGTCGCGGTGATATTATTCTCATGGGATGATGAAAGCATACTCGGATAGACACAGGCTTTTCACGCTTTTCCCTGTAGTGGGTATGTACGGAAGAGGTTGTACGCCGTGAGGGTTTTCCTCGAGAAGTATCTGTAAAAGAATTCTGATTATGAGTGCTCTAGAAGTCTAATTGAGTCACCCTACTTAAAGTACATATCTTCCGATAAAGACCTGCATGGGCCTCAAGACGTCAAATCAGGATGATGAATAATTTATTTATTTATACTAAGCGATTACTCCGACGCCACAGGAAGGTGAAGAATTCATCTCTGCTGGCCCTCATGTCTTGTTCTTGAAATCATTCACTTCGTCCACATTACTCGAAATCTTGGCATTGAGCCAGCTTATTGAAATAGTGAGTTTCCCCCATACAATTTGCTCTTCATTTCAGATTCTCTCTTGTACGTATTTCTCAACAGCTCTTGAACAACATCTACCTTACGACTCTTACAGTTACGACTCACATAGTATTTTAATTTGACCTACTCCCGAATCTTGATCCTGGAACTACATGAGGTAGAAATTACTCTAAAAATCCTAACATTAATTAAGAGATTCTAAATTTTTAACATTTTAAATGGGAACGAAATTCAAAACCAAATGACAATCCAAATCCGACACTCACGCCGTACAAAAGGCGGAATGAACTAACAGTCGAGACATTAGAGCTATACGGAGATAAAAAGCATCAGAGAAATTTTATCAGACTACTCACCAGCCACAATAATAAAGTGACTCATCTACATCATGAAGCTGGTCTTTCTTAAGGGTCAACAGGTGCACAAATTCCCGAAATAGAGCTGAAGTTTGATGCAGTTTTGAAAGCGTCACTCGTAGGGTGTTTGGCACGAGAACTCTCTCACCACAGACAACTAATGCTAACAAAAATCTTAGACAATTTCTGTCAAACCTACAAAGACTTCTTCCTAGCTTGGTAATCCATACTAGAAGTAAGACTGCAAAGTGCCGAGAGGAAAAGCTACGAAAGAGAATGAAACCTTCAAGGCCTTTGGTATGAAAAAGAAAGCGAAGATGAAAGCTTCCTGTGATAGGGTCACGAAAAGAGTACTTGCTCAATAATCTCTAAATGATGATAGGACATTGGTAAATGTCCATATACTAGAGGGCATCAGGGAAAGTATCACCAAAGATGATATGGTAAGATTATGCCATGAAGTAGAACCAAGTGAGCCTGGCCTTGCTATAGGGCCATTATTGTCGGAAATACTGTTACCCGAGGTACAAAGACTGCCAAGATATTTAGTCAATCGCATGGAAGAAAGTCGGCTTCTCGAAAGAGTATGAGCTGGATGAAGATTTTTCGGAGGAAATCCATCATTACTTGGGCAATAAGCTGAGAACTTTTCCCTTCCAAGTACAGGGTCATAACGCGGACTAGGAGATCCAGCAGGTGAATAAAGCTATATTTAAAGATTAAAAAATTGGCTTGGGATGAAGATAGTCTATGTAACACTCAACATCATCATCATCATCATCTCAAGCCAGTATTTTTAACCTTTAAATCTACTTTTAATCAACTTCCAGGTTCCCTTGTTCACGGCGTGACCCTGTTAGCAGTTCAAAATAGTAGGTTATCTGAACATTGAACGCGCACTGAAAGATACTAATGTTGCACTCCTTTTCTAGGAAACGGAGCTCGTAACTATTAATGATTCGCCCCTGAGCACCCCGAAACGAAAGCGGGATGCAAGTAAGGCAGAAAGGTCCTCAATTCGAAAATCGAAGAAGAGGGAGAAACGACTGGTTATCCGCACCGTCGACAATGCACCAGCTGAGAGTGATGAGGCAGCAGCTGAAGTTGAAGTCCCTGATCTGAACGATGATGCAATTGAAATTGACTCGCCAGCCGAAGCCGAAATGGCTGAGTAGAGACCTAGCAAGCGTAGAGTAAGTTTGGCACACTCTTCAGACGACTTAAAATAACTGGCCCCTAGAAGAACAAAAGGGAATCACGCAATGCATGTCCCCAGTGCGGAGGACCCCACTGGAATAAATACTGCAAAGGGAAGGGAAAATCCACTCCGAAGAAGCCAGCAGTTGGTAAAGTCGGGAAACTCGGGGGATATCGAAAAACAAAGCGAAGCGAGATGGTTCGTTTCTAGTGTTCAAATCCCCAGAGGCTATAAAAGAGACAATCACCGAGGAAGATTTTGTGGCTATATGCGAGAGAGAAGTAGTTTATAAGGATGGAATCTATGTGTGTGCACTCTCTAAATTACACTGTTTCTTAAGGTACGAGAACCTCGACGAGGTGAATGAGATTGTGGGGAAGCAAATAACCTACCCCAAGGAGTTAGGTCTGAAAAGGGACGAGACACAGGAGAACCTTCACCATGTGGGGGATGGTCCTAAAGCTTTCTTCCTGTCCAGCGCAGGGGCCTACACAGACTTGGAGATCCAGGAAATGGTGGAGAAGAAGGTCACTGACCAAAATTACTGGATGGACAAGAAGAAGCTGGGTCGGGTAAAAACCCAGAAACGATTGCTGATGTTTGAGATAAGCCAAGGGCTATATTCGTTTGAGTTAGGGAGCGGGGCGCGTTCCTTAAACAGAGAAGTCCTAGTATCACGTAAAAATCAATCTAACACTAAATTGTCAGTAAGGAATGAGAGGGTTAGCCAGTAGCAACTAGTCCGCTAACCTATTGGAGAAAGCCTCGGGGCCATTCAAAAGAAGAGGAACTTTTGCTAGCAGGTCCTTGTCCTGCCCCTGGTCCATCTCCCAAAAATCAAAGGTCAATGTGGTAACTGAATTATAAGAAGGTTAACTGAGAGTAGCCTGATCCCACCCACTGCCACGAGCAATGAGTTCTGGATCGAAAAGACCCGCTGCAAGGCAACGAAAGAAGAGGACAGGCTCGAAACCGCCGAGCAAAGCCGCGACATTGACATAGTCGTGGCATCAGAAGGCTCGGAGGCGGAGGAATCAACCAAAGGGAGGGGCAAGGTACCATTGGTGTCAGATAGCAAAAGATCCCAAATGTGAACAAATAAATTACTTAAAAGGGGTAGTGCTAACCGTGAATGACAAAGCAAACCAAAACCGCCAGCTAGCCAAATCCGTGCAGAATTTATGGGGATAAGCACCAGTATAAGTACTGCCTCTAGTTTGAAAAGCGAAAGGAAGTGGATCAAATGGCGAGGTTAAATAAAGGGCGCTCCTCAGACCAATTGTATTCGAGAAATGGTTATAAACCTAAGTTCACTACAACCTGGGTAAGACAGGACTATTAGACCAATAATGGGTAGTATTACCATGTAATGCCTGTGGGAAGCATACCGTAAATGGTCAATAGATGAAATCAATCATGTATACTAAGAGAAAAAGTTTCTGGGGCTGATAAAGGAACAAATTATCAAGGCAAGACATGATGATAGAATGAAATCCACATCACCACTATACAGAAATGAGAGGAAGAAATGGGACGTTTAAGGCCAAGTCGGGAATATCGTTAAGGTACGCGGCCAAAACAGCTGAACCACATTTCCTAACAGAGTAAAGTATCATTATAATGACTGAAAAAAAGACAAATAGAAACCAAAGGGAAGGATGAAACAGTAAGCAGTATGGTACTCTGGACAAGAATCTAGACCTGAATCTGTAAGCTGGACATCCAACCTGAAGAGGGGGACTATTCTCAACACCTGTCAGTGGTGTCCCCTACGAACCTCCAGCTCTCATTGTAGAGTCTACAGAGCCGAGATTGAGTAACAATGTCATCACTTTGAAGAGTATTCTCAGTTGCTTACGAGGTCTGTACTGTCCTCATCACTAAGTACATCCCCCATCACACTATTATGAAGCTAACCATGATCAGATGGTTGTTGAAGCCCTTTTCATCTCCAACCCTCTATCATGGAGTAAAGCCATCTCATGAGTTTCTCGAACGTATATTGTACTCGATATGGATACATTAGATTGGATTAAGTTGCCCTTGACTGTGTCAAACTAGGGAGATACAATTGAACATGTGCATTTCTTGTGGTCCCGGTGTCTTGGCCTCATCTGGCTGGGGCTGCAGGGATTATGAGACTTTTTCCTGAGCATGCAGTTTCCAAAGCTACCATTTTCTTGGTTGGAAGGTTCTGTGGAAAAAGCGACTGAAACTCACGCGTTAACACTAAGCTGAATGGCTGATCATCAAGGGTAAACATATCAATGATCTTATAAGCGGCAACGAACTCTGTGCAAGAAGTGGTCTGGGTCAGAAAGAAGCTCAATGTGGCTATATTGTCTTTGACTTAAGTAGAATATTCAACACCACTCACCCAATCTGAAGATAATTATCAAAAAAATAGATGGAATAAATGAAGAAAGACAGTAGGATAGTCTTAGTGGCCAACTGACTATGAGAACCGTGAAGTATAACCGCAGGAAAGCGTGAAATAGGGGCAGAACCTAGCTATGGAGAGAGCAAATCTGTTTCCCTCTCACTGTAAAAGAACAATCAAGCACTCTGATAGTGTTCATTAATGTTGTAGGAGAATAGTATTCAAACGGGAGTAGTCCATACCCGCCCACCATCAAACTCTGAAATGTCATCGGAAGAGATGAGAGGGTTAGCAAGTGGTGATGAGTCCGCTGACCCCTTTGGGAAGAGTCTTAGCCTTATGTGGCTTTGCAAAAGAAGTACTCGTGCTTCCATGTGCTTATCCTGCCTCAGGTACAATTTCAAACAATCAGATGTCAGAGCGAGAACTGATATATAAGGTTCACTGAGAATAGTTAGGTCTTACCCATTGCTACAAGTTATGAGTTGCAGATCGAAAAAAACCCGCTGGAAGGGGACGAAAAAAGAGGATAATTGAGATGATAGAGCTAGAACCGGACTTCAACAAGATGCAGGACCGAGACCCTCAAGTCAAGCCACAACACAGACATAATCGGAGGTGAGAGAGTTCAAATGTCAGATGAAATTATGGATTCATTGAAGACTAACTACTGTGAAAGCATTTGCTAGGAATGTCTTGATTAATTAGTGAATTAAAGATAGGGGCTTGAAGACGAGTAGATACCGTAGTGTCACAGATCAGATATAAAAGCAATGGGCATTTGTATAGAAGATGTGTCAGGATTGCCTTCTGTATAATCTATATATGTGGAGATAACCAGAATCTAGTGTTCTATGATTCTGGTCTGGCCTTTTGGCCGAGCAGTTATGCACCTATCTCATGCATAATGTAGGATGGCGCCCTTTAGCCTGAACACCACCTCTTTGACCCATGTCTCCGCCCTGCTGTCTACATGCTGCTCTGACATAGTCATAGAACCACACAATGGTCTAGCTCTGGCACGTGTTCATCCACTCGTGTGTATTCAGTTCTGGCTAAGCAAGCAAATCACGGATGAGCCTGCGGAGGTTGGGCACATCTAAAGATTATGGGAGGGGTAATGTCAGGATTGCCTTCTGTATAATCTATATGTGTGGAGATATCCAGATTCTAGTGTTCTATGATTCTGGTCTGGCCTTTTGGCCGAGCAGTTATGCACCTATCTCATGCATAATGTAGGATGGCGCCCTTTAGCCTGAACACCACCTCTTTGACCCTTGTCTCCGCCCTGCTGTCTACATGCTGCTCTGACAAGATGGTAGTTTATATTTCGACTAATGGAAAGCTATTTAGGAAGTCGGTGTAAAAGGTCCAAGGAATTCGGAAGTACTCGAAAGTCGTTGACTCAATAGGAATTAATTATTTTTCCTTGGGAAGCTAAACTACTGTATCGTATCCTGCATTTTATGTCTTCCGCGTACGCTAGTGTTAACTCCCCCCTTTGGCCATATGAGAATACTCCTTTCTCCCGGCTATCTTCCTTAGCTCCCTGAGAATCATCCTTTCTCCCGGCTACCCCCCTTAGCACTATGAGAATCATCCTTTCTCCCGGCTATCTTCCTTAGCTCCCCTTTAGTCTATCCAGGGGCGTTGCTCTGCCACTACCTTACCTTAGAGACGGAGTGGTCCTAGTGACCAGTCCCAGTCCGGGCAAAGCCCGTCACATTACCCCCCTTCCTCTTCTAACTGTCCTTTTTCTTCCTTGTCTGGCTCCTTCATTCTCTCCGACGTTGTCTCCTTTACCGTACAAGGCTTCGAAATGGTCCATGGCTTCCACATCCTCTAGATCAGCCCGATCTTCCCATGCCGGTTCGGCGAAACCCTTCCATTTGACCAGTACCCGACGTACCCATCCTCTCCCTCGTCGCACCTTTTCTGCCCTTAAAATCCGTTCGACCACTTGTTCTGGCGTTGTATTATCGCCATCTTTTATCATCCATGGTGAAGGTTGCGCGTCATCTTGTGTCTGAGATGGTAGTGGATCTTCATTAGCCTTTTGTAGCAGTTCAACGTGAAATCTTGGCCATATCCTAGACGGAACATCCAGCTCTACCACATGTGGTGATATCACCTTTACTACCGTGTATTTTGCGTTGACCCACGCTAACTTCTTTTTAGGCTGAGGCGTGGAAATATTCTTAAGGCTGAGCCACACCTTATCGCCCACATTAAACTGCGGCGGAGGATCCCTCTTTCTATTAGCCTGCTCCTCCATTATCTGCTGTGCGGCCGCCATAGCTGCTGCCGCGAATTCCTGTGCATCTCGTATCCTATCCACGAATTTTTCAGCTCGTTTGGCTCGTGATGAAAGAGGCTCTCTTGGCTCGGACGACTTTAGCTGTACCGGCTCTGCGTGGTAACCGTGTTCCAGGAAAAACGGGCTCAAGGTTGTGGCCGCACTATCCCTATTATTGATCGCTAATTGTGCGGTAGGTAACATTGATGCCCATTCGATTTGTGAGAATGATATGAACGCCCGTAGGTACGCCAAAACCTCCTGGTTCATCCTCTCTGTCGCCCCATCGGTTTCCGGGTGGAACGCTGTAGACAAGCGTTGTTCGATTTTTGTCAGCTTGCATAAGTGTCTCCAGAAATCTCCGACCCAATTTGAACCCCTATCCGACGTTAAAGCGTGTGGGAATCCATGGAATCTATAATGACAAACTATGAAACGTTCCGCACATTCCTCAGCATTCATGGTTTGCATGGCTTCCAACGTGACGCTCTTAAGTAAGCGATCCGTGATTACCATGAGGTACTGAGGTTCCCCCTTGCTCTTCACTGGAAGGTCCGTCATGAAATCGATCGACAACTCGCTGTGGAAACGCTCCGGCACCGGTAAGGGCAACAGCAGTCCCTGCCTTCTAGAGCGCCACACCCTTGTTCTGCCACAAACATCACAGTTCTTGCAAAACCTCCTAACCATTTGGCTCATCCCTGGCCAGAAAAAGGATCACGATAGGATAGCAATTGTGTTATTTCGTCCTGGGTGTCCCGTTACATGCGAGTCATGCGTTTTTTGAATAAGGGCCGTATGCAAGGGTTCCCAATTTGGTACCCACAGTCTTTTCCTAAAGCACAACGCTCCCCGCATGTCTAACTCACACTCCGCTCGTGCAACCTTTAGATGTAGGTGGGGTGCGAATTGTGTCTCGTTACTCCACATAGCTATTGTGACGGTTCCACCCTAGATCATTAGATAGGGTTGTTATATCCACATTACATTCACTTCACATAAGATATTGCTAGAGTTCTTTGTTTGTAGCGCACAGACCAGCGTAGATAATGTAGAGTTGTAGATCTCTAGATACTTTCCCTTCCCTTTTACTCTTTAGTTTAGAATCTTTTGAATATAGTCTTTATCCAATTCGACTTTGTCATTTGTCAACCTGTGATCTCCTACGGCTCTCACATTATTCTAAACTCACGTCAACGCCTGGGAAGGCATTACAATTTCCTAATCTCATTGAGACTGAGATTTAGCAGTTTTTAAGTAAATAAAAGATTGCGGTGAAACTTGCCATAACATTTAATTGTTAAAAGTGCAATTTCAGGGAATAATAAAAGCATACAATATTGTGGCTAAGTTTATTTTCCCACTCTCGAGATAAAGTTTTTTTTCAGTCATAAATATACACTCAAAACAGTCACTCA